TTCCATGGTATACATATACCACAATTTATTAATCCATTCATGGGTTGATGGGCACTTGGGCTTCTTCCATGACTTGGCTATTATGAATTGAGCTGGAATGAACAATCTGGTGCAAATACCTTTGTTGTAAAGTGACTTTTGGTCTTTTGGATATACAGCTGGTAAAGGAATTTCAGGATCAAATGGCAGGTCTACGTTTAGATCCCTGAGTATTCTCCATATTTCATTCCAAAGGGAACGTATTAGCTTGCACTCCCACCAGCAGTGCAGAAGTGTTCCCTTTTCCCAGTTATATAAGTCATCTTTCTTCTTGAAGACTTTCTCTCTTTCAGAAAGAAATAAGGCATATATACCAATAACATCTTCAAGACACAATTTTATTATTTATTTTGTCTTTTACTTATATTTAATTTTTCATCAAAACTTTTTATTTTTAACAACTTCCAATCATAGAAATTTTGCAAGAATAGTACAATGAACATCCTTGTTATTCACCAAGACTTCAGTGCCTTTTAGAATGCCCCCCGCCCCCCGCTCTTCCTCCTACCTCCCGGCTTTCTATTTTCTATAAAGAAAATGACCTTCCTCCGTGGCATCCCTCCTTCTGTCAAACTTTCTTTCTCTAGTTAGCTATACATTTTGGGTTGTTAAAAAACATAATCATACATAAGACTTTAGCCCTAAATATTTTGTACATGTCACCAAGAATGATAACATTTTCCTTAATAAAATGCAATGCAAGCATCATACTCAGAAATTTAGCATAAATATGATGCTGTTACCTAATGCACCAATTTCCCTATTTGGATTTCTCTAACTGTACAAATAATGCCGTTATGGCTTCTTTTTTTTTTCAACTAAGAATCCAATCTAGAGTTATCTATAGATTGCATTTAGATACTGTGTCTTTGTTATCTAAAGAAGTGTTTGGCTTTTCTCTTCATATACTGATATTTGTCAAGAGTATAAGGCATCAGTTTTGCATAATTTCCCCAAATTTGGATATTCCTATTGTTTGCTCAAGAAGACATTCAAGTCTGATGTCTGGTAGCTTGATTCCTCCTGCTTTGTTTTTATTTC